TTATACCCCTTAGTTATTGCAAATAAATTAATGAGTATATATATTATAAGCCCCATATAAACAAATAATAAAAAAAATAGATGTATAACAAGACTGCTTGCACTTACCCCCAGATCGGGTTCACTGTTGGTAGCTTCTAGTAGGCAATGTGTGGATGAAGATGATGGTAGATCCGTAATCGGATTAATTGCTTTGTGTAAGTTTTGGAGACTGGCCCAGGTGTCTATGGGCTGATCGGCGCTGGCCACACCAGCTGACTGGATGCTATCAATGGCCTCAAAGCCCAGCGATTGTCGCGAACGCGGCTTGCCAAAGACTTGTGCGCTGAGTTTGGACGGAGTTGGCTCTGGGGCTGTCGCAGCTGTTGCCGTTGGCTGCATGGAGCGTCGCGTCTTGCGGGTTACGCATGCTGGATGCACAAAGGTGTGCGGTTCATCCAGCGAGGGTACGGTGGAATGCAGTGAAATATCATCCATGGAGGCGACAGCAGCAAGCACAGGCGATTCATCCACAAAGAGGTTCAGAACATCATCGCAGGAGCGCGTGGCCGTCAGGTTTGTAGCCGGACTCTTGATCAGATTGAAGCTGGCCAGCAAATTGGGGCGACGCAATGAACAGGACGCAGACGGTGACTTGCGGTCGGGATCTGGCATGGCGCGCACAGTCAGGCGATTGTCGGGCACGCCCACAATTCCCAATGGACGCGCTGCAGCAGGGGCCATGGGCGCAAGGCCAAGAGCAGCCGCCGCCGGTGCGCCGGCAAAGTCCACAACCAAAATGCGATCAGATATGTTGGTGCAGTCATTGTTGAAGCCAATGCCCGAATCCGAGTTGGAGGTGGTTGTAGATATCTCGCTGTGATTGGACGGCTGCGGTGAGTGGGCAGCAGCGGCGGCACCGGCCTCGTAATCCTGCGGCTGTTGGTTGCGGCTGGCAGGGGGTATGATGCGCATCGTGTACATACTGCGTATGAGATTCACCACATACTCCGAGTTATTGGGAAACTCCAGGCACAGATTAGAAATGGGATCCCTGGTGCATTGCAAGCGATATTCGTGGGCGCGCGCCAAATGCTGGCCATGCTCAATTAGCTTGGTATCAATGACAAAGACATGACAGCTGTGCGATATGCTAATGTGTCCACCACTGGCATTGGATTTGTCCTCCAGTTCATATTCCTCGTCAATTTGCGTGTTGTGCACGGCGCTGGTGACCAGGCCAAAGAAACGATTCTCGCTCTCCGATGAGGAGCTGACATAGTTGAGCCGCGCCGAGGCATAGGTGGCCAATGTGCCGCCGCCTGCGCTCTGCAAGCGAAGCGAGTCCGGCGTGATGCACATGAGCACAATGGTGGGCTGTCGCTTCTCCTGGCGCAGCTTGCGTATGCAGGAGCGCACCGTTTGCAGCTTGGAGCTGTGCGAAATCTGTTTGGGCATCTCAATGGTGCCCAGATAGCCAACAATGACACGGTATTCCAGAGCAGCGCTGCCAACGGCGCGCACCATGGCGCTAACATTGGCCACATCCGCAACCTTGCCGAGACTGGCCAACGGCGCATCCTCCAGCACCGGACGCAACGTGGCATGATCCGGTAAGGCAGCTATTGCCACAGGCCCCACAGCCTCAGCAACCTCAGGTGGCTTCTTTTGTGGGGAGTTGCGCAGACGGTTCATCTTGGATTTGTGATGCAGGAAACGCGGCTTGTTGCGTACACCCGGTCCCAAGCTAGCTGCCAGCAGTTGGCCGCGCGCACTGCGCTGTATCAGCAACGTGGCATTGGCATTTTCCTCGTCCGAACTGTCCGAATAATAGTTTTCCGCAATCTGCATGCGTATGCTGCCGAACGAATTGCCAATTAGCTGCACCACAGTCTCATGTGGCAGCTTGGACACATTAAGGCCGTTCACAGAGATGAGAAAGTCACCGGCGCGCAGACCCGCCTGCTCGGCGGGCGAATTACTGATGATGCAGGACAAGCGGCATGGCTGCTGCCCGGATATGGTAAAGCCAAAGCCATTATAGCCACGACGCACCTCCACGGTCCGTGTGCCATAGTTGGGACGCTTTTTGCGACGACGTTGTTGTGGCTGCTGCTGTGCCGGCGGTTGTTGCGACTGCGAGGAGGCGACCGTTGCTGGCACTGCCGCGTTTGCCGTGCTCATTATGGGCAATGGCGGATGATGGTGATGCATGGCGCTTACTGCAAGCATTTAATGATAAACTTATATATGGTTAAAATAAATCAACTCCAGTTTAGATCGAACGCACCTTTTTCATTGATGGTCTGCGGTGTGGCCGCCGCTCTGTGGAATGCGGTTTGTGCTGAATGGCCAGCAGCTCAGGCTGGGGCTGGCCTCTAGCCACGGTTTGTATGTAACAATGTAACCCACACTAATGCAACAGCAAATGGTGTACGCAGCAATCAAATGTATCTTGTTACACGCAGCACAATTAAATTGCTTTCATGCAATAAATAATAGTTAAAAACCATTGGCCAGACACACACATATGTTTTGTTCAACACCTGAGCACACTTCCACCTTCAATTTGTAAAACCAAACAATTTAAATAAAACTCTTAAACTGCGCAAGCGTAGCCAGGTAAAAACACTTTGATATCACAAAAAAAAAGCATCGATGCCAAATAAAAATGCTAACGACAGCCCTGATTTCCGAACTGCGGTCACACTAACAGCTGCTACTAATATGGTCAGCCAGACACTCGCAGTGTTGACATGCGTGACATGGTCACCCTAATTCATAGCAATGCCAATAATATACATTATTGTTTTATTTCGCGCGCCTTTATTAGTTTTCCAACGCGATGAAACAATTAAGAAGTAAAATAAATACGGAACGGTATTGGTTGGACTGGTGTCGCCTATGCGCCAACGACGATGCGTCCATCAATGTGCGTCAAAAAGATGTATACATGCGTATTATAAGCAAGTGTTTTGATATCGAGGTAAGCAACTGGAGTAAAACAATAATGTGTGATTATTTACCTAATTCCTACTACAGATAGGTCTCGAAGAGCCCCAATTGGGTGGCATGCTGTGCAGCGATTGCTACGCCTTAATAGGCGACCTGCTGAACTTTGCAGAAAATGTCAACAAGGTGCAGCCCATCTTTGAGCTGTTGCGCCACACCGAGCCCAACGAGCAAGTGGATGTGCATGCTCTGCGCCAACAATATGGTCTACAGGAAAAGTTCTCATCTGGTCATAGCTACAAAACGGAACCAGAAGATTTGGAAGAATTGAGCAGTCGTGAAGGCAGCTTAGATGACGGCAGTCAAATATTTTATGAAGATGTTGATAGTGATCCTCAACCTGATTTGACCATATTACCTACTCCGGCAAAAAGAAAACGTGGACGGCCCAAGGGCTCGAAAAAGCTGCAACACGATGAAACTGCAGAATCAAATGAGCACCAAGAAGCTATAGATTTCGAAATCGAAGCTTCCGCGGATTTTCACGAGGATCCATCAAGCAGCCATGAAGAGAGCATTGAGCAAGAGCTGGTACAAAATCACATTTGGCTGGAAGATTATCCCATGGAAGAGAATAAGACTACTCCGAATAGTGCTATAAAAAGAAAACGTGGTCGACCCAAACAATCGGTTAAAACTGAGGTACACGACGATTGGGAGGTATCACAAGAGGAGCTCGACTTTTTAACGCCAAACGAGCCAAATCAATTGATTGCCAAGGATCATAGCGCAGATAAAGATGAACTCTTCAATCCCAATCAATCCGCACAAAGTACCACTAAAAGAAAACGTGGTCGTCCTCGAAAGCATGAGAGTATTATCTTGCAAGACAAAAACGATTCGAAATGTAAAAATGTCGCACTAGCCAGACTTTTGCTCGCATCTCCAGTGCCCGAAGCTGAAACAGAAGCAGCAGGAGCTGTGAAGCATAGTTATCTCAACGACAGTCAAAACAGGAAAAATCCAGTCACTTGTAATGTCTGCCACAAGGAGCTATCATCGGAGAATGGACTTAAGTATCATATAGAGCGCGTGCATATGAAAAAGAAGCCCTTCGTCTGTGATGTCTGCGGTAAACGTGTCCGAACAGTTTCAGAGCTTAAGGAGCACATGCTTGTGCATACCGAGGATCGGCCCTTTGTGTGTCCATTGTGCAATGCGGCCTTTAAAAATAGAAAGCGACTCAATGTAAGTGCCTTATCTATGAGGAATAAGCTTCAAGACAGCTGACTTCACAGTAGTTACCCTTGGTTTAGGAAAATAATAATTAATGATAAACAATCATCTGAAACTTCTATTTCAGATGCATTATCATAATCCTATTGATAATGCTTTGAAGATGTGTGTGTGGCAGATGATAGCTAAGATTCAGATAATTCTAAATTTTAATATATGCTCTTAATTAACAGATACACAGCCAAACACACGGCGAGCCCAGTTACGAGTGTGAGATCTGCGGCAAGAAATTGCAGACGCGTGCCATTTGGAATAAGCATAAAAGTGTTCACACTAACGAGCGCCGGTTCAAGTGCAGTATTTGCGGTACCGCGACAAAAAATTCAACGGCTCTGAAAATTCACCTGTTGAGTCACACGGGATTGCGGCCATATACGTGCAAGTACTGCAACAAGGACTTTGCCAGCGGTGCCAATTGCAGGGATCACAAAATAAGAAAACATCCTATAGAATATGAACAGGATGATGATAAATCGTGCCGTATACAAAGTGTGCCCACGTTGGATGAGTTGCGTGCCTTGTAAGTAATTACTTATTCCATGTACTTATGATATATTTAAAGGCATATAATTTCCTTTTCAGAGCTGCGGGCATGGAGAAAGGTGAGCGGCTGCGTAAACCTAAAACTATGAAAATTGAATAAAAGCACGAATCGTTATAAAAATTGAGATTTAGCATTTTCAATTAAACACACACCAATAAATACCAAATATTATACAATTTGGTATTTATTTGGTCACTCTAATTCAGTGTTTACCTATTTCCTATAACCAAAACATGTCCAGAATACAAACAAATTGTTTATGAGCATTAAAGTAATCTCAGAGACCCGTTTTTAACCCGCCCCGCAATGGCGGAACACTGTGAGGCTGCAATTGGCGATAGCCACTGGCTAAATTGGTGTCGCCTCTGCGCTAAGGACGATGCACGGGGCAACGTCAAAATATACACAAGTGCCAATGAGAACACTTGGAACAGTATCTTGGTGATGGCCATTAGGAAATATTTCGATGTGCATGTAAGTGGCAGTGGGGACTGGAAAATGTGTTTCGTGCAATTAATCCCACACTTTCAAACCAGATGCAACTGGAGGACGCGCTTGGCGGCGTGCTCTGCAAAGAGTGCTATACATTAGTTAGCGAGCTAATTGACTTTGCCGAACATGTCACCAAAGTTCAAGCCATCTTTGAGGTACTGCGGCTCTCCGAGCCCAATAAGCAGATCGATATGGAAGCGCTCCGGCAGCAGTATGGACTTCGGGAAGGCGACTGGACGCACATAATCAAACCGGTTTCGGAATTGGAGAACAATACAGCAAAGCAAATGAGCGCTGATGTAAAGACAATATCAGCGGAGCTATCAAATCAAAAGCTTGTAGATTTAGACACTAGCTTGGACGGTGAGCTGCCAAAGCGGGAGTTTGTAGATTTGGGTGCTGGCTTGGAATCTGAGGTAACAAAACCGCTGCAAAACGACGAAGAAATGATTGTCAGTCACTTGCACATTGAAGAAATTGAAGTTCATGATAATCCCATTAAGCCACGAACTCGACGAAAAAGTTCAAAATTACGCAAAACTTATTCACCCGAAAAAACAGTGAAGAAACGAAAAGTGAAATGGAAAGACGAGCCGAAGGCAGAAAAGAGCGGCAGTGAGGCTGGGAATGGTCAACGAGCTCTACCGGAACACACTGAAGAAGGGCTTGAAAAGGGTTCTTTAAGCCCCGATGCTAATTTGGAGTATCTACCAGAGGTAGACTCTCCCCCTACAAGTACCGTAAAGCCTGAGGATAATTTAACCAACAGCGATAGGGAGGATGTTGAATCGGAAAATGAAAATTCAGATATTCCCTCGAAGCGCAGCAACATGAAGTGCAAATGGTGCGGTAAAATGTATCACAATCCAGCCTCATATCAAAAGCATCTAAGAGTTGTTTGTCGCAAAGTCGAACAGCGGCCAAGGATGGATAAGAACACATTCTGTGAGCTCTGCAACAAAACGCTGTCCTCGCCCGCAGCACTAAGGTTGCACAAGGAGGGCATGCACGAAAATGCCAAGCCCTATGTGTGTGATCACTGCGGCAAGCAGCTGAAGACCATAACGGCACTCAACGAGCACAAGCTGGTGCATACGGAAGATCGTCCGTTTAACTGTACGATATGCAAGGCTGGCTTCAAGAACAGAGCTCGACTGAAGGTGCACAATCAAATACACGAAGAGCCCAGCTATGTGTGCAACATTTGTGGCAAAAAGCTGCAGACTCGCCGGACATGGAACATGCACAAGCTGGTGCACAGTGAGGAGCGCAAATTCAAGTGTGATGTTTGCGGCGCACTCTTCAAACGCTCCAAAACACTCAAGTCGCACCTGCTTAGCCACACGGGACTGCGTCCCTACGTCTGCAAATACTGCGGCCAAACATTTGCCTGCAATGCAAATTGTCGCGCTCACAAGCTGAAGAAGCATCCGCAGGAGCTCAAAAAGGAGGAGGGCGAGGCCATGTCCTCACGTCTCAGTGTACCCACTCTGGAGGAGCTACGTGTCATGTAAGTCCGTAAACATAGCTATGAAGACATGCCTATGACATGGTCAATAAATCTAAATTCTTCTTAAAGGTCACAAAAAATACCCAAACTGGAACCGGATACATCTAACTAATGTTCGTACTGCAATTGAACCATTCTATGAAATTATAAACTTATATATACTTTTTTTCCCAGTACTTATTTAATAAGAAATAATATAGCGAAAAAATGTAATTATAATTTACTGTCGGTATTGTTTAAAGCCAATATGTTTATTTGATCCGCCCAATTGTGACTGCAATTAAAATTATGATTATATGTTTTGAGATTATTAGTTATATAAAATATATATAAAATTATAAAATAAATTTCATTTTGCATTTCGATAACAAAAACGGCTTTCGATAACGATTCTGGCAGCGGGGGTGACCAAAGGTATCGATACCAGCGCGAACATCGATTGTTGCACCAAACACAACATAGTGAATTGTATATTAAAATTATTTTGCCTTTTTGTTTTTTTTTAATTTAACATCAATAATGACGGGTTGTGAAACTGTTAGAAGCGCAGCCGAGGAATCGCCGACGCGCACAGATGCATCCAGCTGGCACCGTTGGTGCCGACTCTGCGCCAAAGACCATCCAGACAATGTAAATGTGTATTTCCGAAACGGTGATCAAACTTGGACGAGCGTTCTGGCCGTGGCCATTGGTAAATACTTCTGGGTCAATGTAAGTGCTTGTCATATTATGCATATTTCAAAAACCGCTGACCGCTTGTGATTAAATAGATCAAAATGGAGGACGAACTGAGTAATGCCTTGTGTAAGGAATGCTACACGCTGGTGGAGGATCTAAACGAATTCTCCGACCGAGTCAGTCGGGTTCAAACACTTTTTAGCCGACTGCAGCAGGCTGGATCCCAGGTCAACTTAGACTATGACGAATTGCGTAAGGAATGTGGCTTGCAACCAGATGAATGGAAACACATTGTTTCGAAGGATGCGACCTTGGAGGGTGCAATTGAAAAGTCCAACGCGGATGCGGTTGAATACATTGTCGATGAAATGGTCGAGGCAATTGATGAGGCTGCTGAACTGGCCGAAATCGATGAATCGCCATTTGTAGATCATGATGAGGAAAACGCCTACGAGTCAAACGCCGAAAACGAAGAGACGACTGAGCCGGCATACGTTGAGCAAGATGTTACGGACAAGGAGTACTTTGAACCAGAATCAACCACGATTAATACGTACGTTGAACAGGAAGCACCAAGCGAAGATACAGAGGTCGTTTCGGAGCCAAATCCTAATATAGACGACGCTGAAACTGATCCACAAACTGCAGCGACACCTACAAATGATGAAGATATACAAAAGGATGTCGGAGCAACCGATGAACTCAGAAAGATTCCGATGGCAGAGCACGAAGATGTCGATGATGGACACAATCAATACAAATGCACGTCGTGTAGCAAAGGCTATAAGAATCAATTGGCCTATAAACGACATATGGCCGTGTTTCATGGCCTGGTGCCCACGGATAAACACAATCTGGAATGCAAACGCTGTCATACCTTCTTTGCGACAGAGATTCAGTTAACTGCCCATTATCGTACCCATTTGCATGCCAAGGACAAGACGGAGAATAGTTGTAGCTACTGTCCAAAGTCTTTTACAACAGCCGGAGCTCTCAAGCGGCACGTCTCGTCCATACACGAGAATATAAAGCCGTATATCTGTGACTGCTGCGGAAAAGCCATGAAAACAATCACGGCCCTCAACGAGCACAAGCTGGTTCATACCGATGAGTGTCCGTTCGAGTGTCCGATCTGTTTTAGAAGTTTCAAAAACAAGGCTAGGCTAAAGGTGAGTGTTCCATTGCATACATATAGTATCTCTAATGATCCTTATGTTTCCACAGATACACTCGGACACGCACACAAATAACGATTACAAGTGCAACGTTTGCGGCTTAAAGCTCAATACACGTCGCACTCTTAACATGCACAAGTTAGTCCACACGGATGCCAAACAGTACAAATGTGATGTCTGCGGTGCTGCTTTTAAGCGTGGCAAGACTTTGAAGGCACATCTGATACTCCATACGGGCATACGGCCGTACAAGTGCAATTTTTGTGGCAAGGACTTTTCAAATGGCTCCAATTGCCGCATGCACAAGCGTAAAACGCATCCCAAGGAGCTTGCCGAGGAAGAGGCACGTGGTGTTATACGCTCCACTCTGCTGCCAATGATCACGGAACTGACTGAAGCGTGAGTCAATTGGGACCATCGTTCTTCGCCTTCATTGATATTATTTTCATATTCCACAGTTCCAAGCGTGTCAAGAAACCAGCGAAAGCAGGCACGGCAGTCATGCGTGTAAGGGTCACGGAGGAGACCACAGACCCAACAAATGACATCATATCCGGAGATGAGTTGGAGGCGGCAGCTGATGATGAGGTTCTTTACGAGATTGTGGAGGAGTGCACCTAAATGGCACACACTCCCAAAAGCAGCATATTTAAATAAAGTCTAATTGTTTAAACTACTTGTACATTTCCATATATGTATATATAATAGATTTTATTCACAAATTCAGCTTAGATATTAGAATATGAAAATTTGATTATTTTCAGGGTGGTTGTACAGATCCTAAATGCTGCTGCTAGGCTGCCAAAAATTGCCATGCCTCGAGCACACATCGGAAACAAGCTTAGGCAAAAATGCCGACATATAAATCACAAGATAATTCACGAATTTCGAAAAAATAAATAACAAAGACTTTTGTAGATGTAATAACAAATAATAAAAATGTTGTTTTAGACACAATCACATCTATTATTATAGACAATAGTTGGGATTGTGACTATTCATTGCGTAAATAAAAACGTCAAAACTTTGGAATGTTTAGATCAGCGCAGAAGAAAAAGAACTAAAGAGATGTGCTTAGACGTCATATTGAAACCCTTTCATAAGAAACTAAAATGGCCTGGACCCGATTCGAATATAACGTTTCAGCATATCCTTAGTAAAGATCACATATCGGGATAAAATACAATTACAAATACATACATACATATATATATATGTATATATATAGATATATATCTATATAACATTAATATTGAGGGGGAGGGACATTACATTTACGACTTACAGCTAGACAAATTGAGCATATTGTACAAATAGAATTTACAAATTTCACTAAAACATAGAACATTTAACGGTGCCTGATTCAAGGACTTATCTAGGTCTAGCATAGCTCAGCACAGCTAAGAGCACAGCGCTGAGTATGGCCACAGATGGACGCTGAGCTCCAGCGCCGCACTCAAGATTATCCCGTGGATACTTATTGAGTGGGTCGGGCTCCTCGCCCGGCCGGCATTGTTTGCCCTCGGCGGCAAAATGCGCGCCGCACAGCTCATGGCAAGGTGGACACATTATTGCGCCCTTATGCAGCCAATCATTAGCCGCAATGCGTATGGAAAGTTTCTGGCCCGGAAACGAGCATTTGTAGCTATAGTTGCCCACCAGTATGTGGAGGCGGCCATCGAAGCAACTGTATTTGTAGCAGCCGCTGCCCCAATGCTGCCACTCACGCGTCTGATGACAGGAGCGCTCCTCCCACATAGATTCGCTGTGATCGAAGCACTTGGAACCATGACCGTAGCTCTCTAGCGCAAAATTCTTTTCGGGCTCTGCAAAAGGAATCAATTCATCAGCACTTTCATTCGATATAAATGGAATTCCACAGCTTACTGGGATTATTTTCCACGAAGCGACAGTGGGAGCCGCGCACTATAATATTCTTGCTACGCCAAGTGAACTCCTGTATGTAAGGACAGTGATCCGCCAGGGAAACAGAGCCGCCATAGTAGCCCTCCTCACCGGACTTTATGTTGTTCAGACTATCAAAGTTCTGATAGACCTTGGGTAGCTCGTAATCATGCTTGATGAGATTGCATAGCGCTACGGAATTGCGATCGTCCGTGCATTCCGTTTGTAACGGATCCTGTTTAACTTTGGAGCAGAAGGGATGTATGGAGCGACCTCTGCGGAGAGTACAGAGTAGATATAAGTAAATGAGTCAAAGCTAAGCCAGATGGCCACTCACCTATCATGATTCATTTGGATCCAATCCTTGCAGCTGCGCATAGCAAACATGCAGCCCAAACCCTTACCCCAGGTTAACGGCGTGGCCATCGAATAGTTGGCACGATACCAGCCCGAATCCTCCATCAACGCCAGGGTTATGCGTGAAAAGACTGGCGATTGGGTGTGTGTGCCCGTCATTGCCTCGTTCTCCAGTATGCGCTTCTCCCAGTGTGTGAGGGCGGTGCCCTCACCGCCCTGATCCTCCAGCTCTGCGCCCTCCAGCTTATTGCAATCAAAGTGGGCGCGCACCTCAGCAACCACACGTGGCGTGACCATCATATCCACCACCTTGGTCACATGACCACCACGCACTGACCAATTGGGACGCTCCACTTTGCGTATGGTTTCGTTGCTCCACTGATGAATCTGCAATCTGAAGAGAGTATACATTAAGCATGGATTAATTTTGAACGCCCTTTGGCACTCACTTTTCATTCAAATAGGGCTTGCCCGTGTCCGACTTGCGCGGCGTGCGCGGTCGACCATCGTCGTCTCTGAAAAAGGCGTACAGACTAACCGAGAAGCCCAGCGCATGTAGAATCTCATGCTTCACTGTCGATATCAAGGTCTGCAGCTCTTGCGGCTTGGTGCTGATGCTCTCGGGGCACAGGTTGGCATGGCCCGCTATGGGACGATCCAGCAGCGCCTCCTGCTGACAATGAGCCGCATATGCCACGGTCAGACCCTTGAAACAGCGTTGTGTCTGTCGTGCCGACACATAAAAGACAAAGTCAGCATTCTCTATCCCATCTCCGGGCTTTGTGCTGTTATCAATGCGGCAATTCTGACCCGTGCTATTGCACACGCGACACACCTGACAATCGCAATGGAGAGAAGGAATCAGTAATTATTAATATGATGATGATCCTGATTGATTAAGTTTTTGATTGAATGACTAACTGATTGATTAATTGACTGATTGATTGAATGACTAACTGATTGATTAAGTGTGCGACTGAGTAATTGATTGCATGATTAACTGACAGATTGATATTCAATCACTAACTAACTAACTGATTGATTGACACACTGATTGATTGATTGACTAACTGACTGATTAAGTGTGCGACTAAGTAATTTAACGAAAGACATTGATTTGAATGATTGATAAAGAAATAAATTACATGACTGATTGAATGAGTGATTGGCAGACTGACTGAGCGACCCGAAGCTTATTTTCAATTTTTATGTAAAAATTGGCAATTGTAATTCACCGATTGCGGGAAATCCACTGCACAGGTTAAAAATGTGGGTTCAAAGAGAAGTATTGTTTAAAGTTTAAAGCTTAAAACGTGAGACGGCGCAAGCTGGTGAATACCCGTTTATATTGTATATAAAGGTGCTTAACTCACATCCAGATGCTCGTTGGGCACCTGCACCTCGCCGCACATAGTCGTCGCCTTGCAGTGGTCAATACAGTGGGTGTGGCCGTTCTTCACATACACCTGGGTGCTGTCGCATTTGCTATAGGAAATAAAAAAAAGGTATACACGCGTATTAGGCTTCAGTTACAAAGCGTTCGCAGCTATTACACACCGATTTAGCCGTATCACGCCCTTGGTCTCGCGCACCATCAACGCCTGTTCCCAGAACTGCACCGCCTCGGGTAGCACCGTGTCCTGCAAATGTAAACCGAGTATTATAAAATGTTTTCGTTTAAGATTACAGCAAGCTAGCTTACATTGATTAAATTAAACTGTTCCTCATCCAATCTGCAAGTAGATAAATATTAAATAAATGGCGATTAGTTAACGTTCATCGGGCTCCGGGAAATGCTTGTTTATTAATTAGAATAACGCAAAATAATACTATATATATATATTTTATTTGATTAATCTATATTTAATATATTTAAATATTAGCTCGCGTTTTGGCAAATTATAATTTGGCGGCAAATTTGCAAGTTTATTACTTTACATCGGATAAAACTCATTTTCAAAAATTTGTATGAAGGTTTATTTAAAAAGTTTTGTACATTCCAACGCATGAAAAAGTTGTAAAGTTATAACTAAAATTTAAAGCACAATAATTGCCACGCGCAAGGCCGGGGAATACTAGCTAGTGCTAAGTATAACTCTAAGCGTGGAATTCCACGCGCGGAATATGCGTGGAAAATTGATAGCTACAACTGAAAGCACAGAACTTAGCCGGGTTAGGGCAGCTAGTTATATATATGAATTTCCTAAAGATAGAAGGTAGAATGTTTCTATCGGCAGCATAGCTAAAAGAGGGTATCTGCTAGTCGGCCACGCCAAAGAGATATCCTAATCGTTTTGGCTGGGTCATTAGTTGAATTAAATTTGTGTAAACACTTTTTATTCATCACATAACTCAAGATGTTTTATGATCAAGTTTTCAAGATTATTTCGATTGAACCAACCGCATTGTCATGTGGCGTATGCTCAGTTTTGCAGAGTACATGCGAAATGTGCTGCTAAGGTAACAATTCCTGGAACTGACCTTGCGCTTTGGCATTGGTAATGAACGGCGGGGCATGGCGTTGTGTGTTGGCTTTGCTTTGGCCGATTAGCCGTCATTTTCAATCGCAGCCAAGTTAAAGTGTGTCGCAATCAGAGCTAGCCTTAAAGAGCTCAACCAATTGAACGTCGCACGCAGCGCAGCCAATTTTGGCTTCAGATGTTGCTCAATGAAAGGTAAATGGCTAACGGTCCGGCGACGCTTTAACTTGACATTCGGCTCAGTCGAATGGTAAACAGTTGGCCATTAAAGCGCAATTAGAGCCAATTTTTATTTATATACTCTGTTCGCAGAGTCGGAAAGAGTATATTGGTTTGTAACTTTAAAGTATATATACGCGTTTATATTAATTTATAACTATATGTTACATCTGCAAATATCTTCAGAGCAGGCGAACTACTGATGATATATATATATATTCCTCTTTATATATATCTATTCCTTAAATATTCGCTCGAAATGATATTTACTAAACCAATTATCAAGAGGACTCTATTTCAACCTTCCTTCTGTTCGGTTCGGTTCACGATTCGAACCAGATTTTGGTTCAAACTGTTATTACAAATTTTATGTGACCTACTCTCTCAGACTTAAAGCTAACTTCTTGAAACCTTGCTTAGATACGCCTTAGTATCGCAGGCAGTAAATATTTAAGCACCAGCCGGATCAGACAAATATATCCACTATAGCTGCCATAGGAAGGATCAGTCGAAAAATAAGTACTTGTATCAAGACATCTTGACCAAACCCGGCATTTATAAGTTTCACTACATATCTATATGCGAAATCTCGAAAAGAGGGTTCAAATTTGGAAAAATATGATGTTTTCCAAGATAGTTTCATTAAACTCAGCATTTACTAGCTTCAATATTCTCACATATCCGAAAAAGCAAATGTCTACAAGGGTATTTAGTCGTCGGCGTGTCGAAAATATGCTATAGCTCGTTACGTTTGTTTTGTGAGCAGGCTGGAGCCTGTTTTAGATTTTCAATCAAGAAGTAGAAAATATTTAAGTAAATACCAAATATCAATTGCTACTAGGACTAACTTTACAAATTGAAAATTATATAAGAAAAGGTTTAATTCGGTTCACAGTTTAAAAATATTCGAATGACAGGCTAAAACCGGTTCGATTTACGAGCTTTGGTTATAGCACTGCGAACGAAGTATGCCGCAGTCGAGTCGAACCGTTTCATTTTTCATTTGTTTTGTATTTTTTCTTTCGCACCTTCAAGCTGCAGCTGCAGCTGCAGCTGTGGCCGTATGGCCGTGGGGCGATTTGGCTCACCTGTAAACAGATTCATCGTAGACGAGCAGAATGCGCAGCGGTTGGTCGGCGACAATGCTGCGCCGGCGCATGCTATGCACCGCTGGACTGGGGTTCCAGTTGGCCACGTCATTAACGCCATCATCAGCATCATCATTATCGTCAGCATCATGATGATGGGCCAGCTGTATGCGCACACCGTGAACGACCTGTAACGAGTGGGGGGAGGAGAAGAAATTTGGGGTTTGCTTTAAATTGTGTGTTAAACGAAAGCGAAAATGTTGCCAACAATTAGACAATTAGAGATGACGACATGGCCACAAAAGGCCACACAGAAAATGAAAAAAGGCAGCCGTAATTGGCTCTTGGGCAAATTGCAGTGAAATTAATTTTCAAATTGCCCGCCAAAATGTCGAACGATTGAGACATCGAAATGTCAATGATTTTTGGGGCTTTTCAGTAAATTGGGTTTGTTTTGTTATTTCGCGCATTTGTTATTTTATTGCCATTTTTTGTTGTTGTTGTTTCACTTTGTTTTTTGGCCATTGTGCAATGTGTGCCAATTATTGTGCATAATTTAGACCCTGTTGAATATGCAAAAGACCATGCCGAGCCATTTGGACTGATTATCTATTATAATTTATGGTTGGCCGGACAACAAGCAAGCGGACAACACACTCAACGCTTATGCACAATTTTTTTTTTCGGGAGAGAATCTTTCGGCTGCGCTTCACTGCTCTAGTTGAATCGTTGCGACCGACAGATACCCTGGATACCCTTGAGACACTTTTCGGTTAAATTAACCTAAAGTGGCCGCATATATACCTTTAAAAGTGGGGAAAGATTGTGAAATGCAAACATTTTGCGTGCCACAAGCTCTACATCCCTCCGCTCCAGCTAGGCAAAAATTAATTCTTTAATTACTTTTGTATTTATCTTTCGTTCGTTGTGTAATTTGCTGGGCTTAAAGATAGCCACTTTATGTGCGCATGCACACAGGCTGTTTCTCTTCAAATTTAAAGGGAATGGAAGAGCCTTAAAAGGCATATGCTAATTACAATATTCCAGATCTGGATATACCATGCTAAAACCGACATGTCAAGCTCACATAAGCTCCAACTGTCGCCAAAACATAAATCAAATATAATTTTATGTTATAGCTTTGTATGTAACATACATTTGGACGACTTCATTCTACCCAGCTGCAAATGCAACAGGGTATTCTAGGTACATGGATACATGTATGTCGTACGCCCCAGCACTGAAGATTGAAAGCTAATTCGCTTTCAGCGCCAGGCAAAAATGAAAGTGAAATGAAGCTAGATTTTTGCATGTGATATAAGGTTTTATCTGGTTGCTTTAATAATAAAGAGCAGCACATGGGCATGCTTCCAGCTGGAGCGAAAGGCAACAGCAATTAATGAGTTAATTATCGTTAACTAATAATGTAAACAAGGCAATTTTGATTTTCAAATTAATTTAATGGCACAATTTGCAGCTTGGGACTGGTCGTGAGCCATGATTGAGTAGATGTGAGTTCTAAATGCTGCTAAATGGCATTTCCAGACACCTGCACATTCATTGTAAATAATGAGCATGAAAAGTTGTTCTGAGTAATGCCGAAGATCACATACTCTTGCGGGCACAAAGCAAGTGTGCGATACACATCTGTGACACACCAAGCTATGCTTTGTTCTTTAAGGAAAGCTAGTTTTAATCAGATTGATAAGATGCTGCTTTATTTATTAAATGAAGCCTTGAATAAAGAGTTGTCTATACGAAAACTACATCTTATTCTAATATGATAAATATGATTTAGGATTTTACTATATGCAAGAGGTAAAATAAAGCTACAGTTTGCTTAAAGTTCCTTGAAAAATCAAGTAAGAGGCTCTAGTCGGAAGCTCCCGATGTTTGAAAAATAAAAAATAGTTTCCTCGCTAGGGCTCGAACATACATACGTATACATGTGTACAGAAATTGTTAGAATTTGCGCTTGCTGCACCAAACTCGAGGCCAGCCAAAAAATGTTTTCTTTAATAACTTTTGTGTTTCTTAACCGATCTTGATGAAATTTTTTACAGTAGATCTTATTGTGCTATAGAATATTTGTGTATTCTCAAGAAATCAATTGCATTTAAATTGTGTCTTATATTGTTGGGCAGTATAAATTGTTGTATTTATGTGATTTATATATGAAAGATACTTGATATATATATACTATTCTAGAAGTTACATGACAAATTTGGTGACTCCAGCTCATATTATTTACACATATTGTTTAAAAACAGGATTTTGATATAGATTTTTATCGATTCCTTCAAGTCTCTAACTCTTATAGGTCAGAAGATCTTTGCGTTCATACATACGGACAGACCGTCGGACATGGCTAGATCGACTCGGTTAGTTCGCATAGAAACAGGCAGAAAGACAGGCTGCTGATGCAGATCTGGAATGTATATGCTTTGTGAAGTGGGAGAAGTCTCCTTCTGTGCGTTATACATGTCACGACAACATTATAATACCCTCTACAAGGGTATATTATAATACAAAGGTAAATTTTGCATTTTATTGATTCTAAGAAGTTGATAAGATTTCTCGTTTATTTGGACATTGATTGAGATATCTTGAGAAAATACGAAATCTTTCCATTTAAATACGATTCAAAGCCGGACTACTACCACATATTTAGAATCCTTATCACTGCGTTACACTTTTCACAATAAATTTATAATAACCTCTGTGAGAGTATAAGAACCATATAAACGTACATAAACATTGTATCTATCTATGCCAACAACAATACAAGCAATTTATCTATATTTGTCTATTCAGCAAAAAAAAAAGAACAACGATCACGAAAAGAAGAGAAAAAAACGCTGATCTTAAGACAACATGCAGTGGCGTAGTTTGAAGGGGATTCCAAAGTCTACAATCCAAGCAAATAGCAGGAGAAAAAAACCCCGTGCAAATGCGCAGCTGCCGAACGTATGGAAATCGTTTAGATAACAAAAGTAAACATTACAATAGTTTCCTCGGAAGATCGTGACGACCCTCAAGAGTGAACAGCACTTTGCATGCAAAGGGGTGCTACTGCCCCCCCCCCGCCCTCCTTCAACACCGCCCCACCTGTTTTTACAACCTAAAACTGCGTCTCATTTAGCGGTTTCGCATGCGAATTGTGCATTCAAATCCGTTAAACCGCTTTCAACCGCACAAATAACACAGAGCATTTGCCAGGTGAAAGATGAGCCGCAGCACCTGACGCACAATGCGCTGCGCTGATGGCAAACGTTGCCGCAGCCCCCGAGCTGCCACATGTGGCAAGCTTTTAGCGCCAGTGTCAATCGTTGCACAATGGGCTTGCGAATTATATCCGAAAATAAAAAAATATAAAATACATAGCTAAAGCTCTTCTTAAAAATTCCAAATCTTTAAAATAAAAAAAATTAAAATAAATTGATAATTTAAAAAATTTGTCTTATTCGATAACATTCTGATTTTAGCTATGGCTCAAAAAAATTTGGAGTGTTTTCAAATGTAAATAAAAAAAATTAACAGTGAAAATTATTAAAATAAAAACGATTACACAATTATAATAAAATATTAAATTGAAAACTTCAATTTAAAATTGTCGAAAAGTGAAAAGAAAAAAATTGTTATTTATTTACTTTTAAGGCGATTTGCCCCACTGTGCGCTTGCTTAGCTGTTTGAATGTTGCAACAGGCCATTATTAAAAACTATTTAAAACACAAAACACAAAAAACGTTAAAAATACCTCAGCAATGTTTGACAATACATATTCGTGCGTAATTAATCTTCTCGATATCTGAAATTGAATTTGTAACAAAGGATTTACATTTTTCGCATTTGGCAACTGTCAAACTTTTTACGGAAAACATTTGCAATATTGCATTGACGTTTTGTTGAACTTATTTCTTTCACCTGCATACACACACACACATACACACACACACATACACATGCACACTCGCATACAAATTGAAACGAAATATTATTTGCGATGGGTGGAAATATGGGAAAGGTGCAATTTATTCAAGCATTAAGTGATAAAAGCATCATTAAAAGATTTATTTTTTACGTTGATTGAATTTGTAAATTAAAATTGAATTTAAGTTTTGCTTGATTTTTTAACAGAAAAATGACAAGAATATTCTTTAATTGAATTCAAGTACAATCGTTTCTTGTTGTTTTCTACACGTTTTACAACACTGCAATTGTATAACTCATGAATTTAGTAATAAATATGTAATGGAAGTACGTTAATGATTTACGTGTAATTATTTTTTTTTTTTTGGATATCAAATATCATTAATCTGGTTTTTCGTATGTCGTATTTGTTAATGTAATCCTAACTATACAAAATTATTGCGTTAGGCTTTAAAATTTAGTTTAAATTGTCAACATGAGGAGGACACATCTAGCTATTATTTTATATACACTTAAACTGGGTTTGGTGAGTTGAAGCAAGTTTAATCAAGCATATGGTGCTCAGTACCCAAAACCCATACAGGTCGTGGGATCTTTTAAATTCCAGAGCCTAGAATGCACCGTTCGTATACCCCGAGTCGTAAGTCTTGAGGAATGTCGCATTCGAGCGATTAATCGCACTCAAAATTTGCTAAATATTAGGTTACATTTGAAAGAAACTATATCAAAAGTAAATATAACTGTTAAAGCAACAGATCAATTAATATATACAAGAAAACTTCTACTTAGTTGCAAGTGAACTTCAAATTTTTAAAACGTGAACGTGGCGGTTGGCATCCGTTTCTATACTCAATGAAAGTGGATCTGTGTAAATTCTTTGAGAGTCCCAATCGACATCCGCTGCCCGCAATAATGTTTCATTACCTGAAAGATTATACAAATGTAAACCACAGCTGTCCCTTTTCGGTAGGTTTGCTTTCATTTTGTTGCATTTAGTGTTTATTATTTCCCTTTAGGCCAATACGTACATGGAACTGGAGGCATTTCAGCTGGATGAACTGAGCATTATGAAACGATTCCCCGTTGAGGCTGGGCAATATGCATTACACACATCGTGGTACTCGAAGAATCTATTGATCTGTCACATAAATGGCTCTGCAAATTATATCAAATAGATTCCATGGATCGCTCGACATACTCGAGACCAGTTTAATAATAATTGAAATGGGAATAAATAAATTGTTGTATAAAATATTC